GAGGTAGTTGATGTAACAGTGGAAGACATCGTGAGAGAAGTACTCCTGAAATGGAAAGAGCGCCACAGGAGGCAAATAGTTGAAAATGATGATGGTCTGGATGATGAGGACCATCTTGAAGGCTTTCTTCTTGACCGGGTGCATCACATCCCGAGCTGGTCCAGAGTGCCGGAGGGTGAAGAGTATGGAGAGGTTGCAGAACAGCATGACAGCGAAGGTGGCCAGGATCATGACAGTGAAAGCCTTCTCGAATTTTACGATGGTTCCCGTGCACTTGACTGCCGCGTAAGCCAGTGTGAGGACCCACACAACCGTGGCGCACACTGACCGGTGCTGGCGGTCCTTCAGCGCCGCAAAGGTAATGGGGTGGACCACCGCCATGTAGCGGTCCAAGCAGATGCAGGAGAGGAAGAGCGAGGATGAGTCTTTGATGCCGTAGAAGAGGCGTAGCACGTACCGGAGGCTGCTGCTTGTCAGGTACATGATGTTGGCCAATTCCAGAGGAGGGATGAGGCAGAAGAGGGTGTCCAGAACAGCCAGGTGCCAAATAAAGATGTCTGAGGTGGAGGAGTCCGCTTTGTTTTTGTGCAGAAGCCACAGAACCATCAAGTTGGCTGGGATTCCCAAGAACATGTTAACATACTGCAGGCTCAAATAAAAAATGATCATGGCAGGCATGTGTTCGCACTGCTTAAATAAGGTCAATTCCTGACCTGAGGCATTGAACTGTTTACTTATAAATATAACAGAGTTGTTGATGTAGTGAATTTCCATGCTGACCAGCTGTGAGGAAGCTTCCTTGGATAGTTCCTCAGGTAAGATTAGAAACAGATAGTCTGTTAATACACAGGGAGAAAAAAAACAAAATTAATATTAGGTACACTATTTTTTCCAGCTGTTACTGCTAGTGATAAACAAATAATAGCACTGTTATTAGCAAATGTCCATTTTTGGATTAGAGTAATAAACGTACTGCACTTCCAGGTACTCGCCTACCTTTGGGGTGCTTTCACACCACGGGAACTTTTTTCAGGAACCAGAACCTTTTGTCGTATTCACACCACAAGAACTGGGTCCAATTGTAATCCCTTGGAGGGACTCCTTTTAGTTCCTAATCCAGTCTAGACCAAGAATGCAAAGATCATACTTGTGGATCTGGAAAGAGTGGTATTGCTAATTTGCTTCCCAAGAAAGAACCAGGGGAGTAATGAATTATGGGACTGGTCTCCTGGCAAGGATGCAACCGATGTATCCTTGATATTTAGAGCGGAGCAAGAACAACGTTTTTTGATTGTGTCTCCATGTTTATGAATTGGAAAATTTGATCGATAACCAATATACTTTTGTCTGGTATATCACCGGTGTTGGCCGTGAAACTTGCCAGGCTGCCAGTGCGTTTTTTTTTTTTTTGTGGAGAATGAAAGATTGATCTGCTGGGCAAATTTAAGTAGGCAATAAAACGCAAGGAGGTGTGTAAAGTAAAAACATTAGAAGTTTCCCCATATTTACTTTTTTATTTACCATTATTACACCCCCAACTCCTGCTCTTTGTCCCAAAACTGTGAGGTGTGAGTGGGACATTATCTACTTTTTGTTTTTGCAATTTTTTGCGCAAATTATCTTATTTTGTGGAATAAGAACAATAATACATTTTTATCACTGGACCTTTTCAGAGGTACGAACACTGATGTTACCATATATTGAGAGGTGGGTGCTGTCACGCCCCACATGATTTTTTTCCCCTGTGTTCCCCCGTGGTGTGGCGCTAATGAGCCACACCTGTTCCTTGTTTAACCCTGCCTCTCGTTTCAGCGCTCGTGTGGATGATCCCAGGTGCCTCTCGTCTGCTCCTCATCTGTGGTGTACATAGTGCCTCCTCGTCCTGAGCTCGCCAATCCAGGCATTGTATTATTGCATGTGTGATCCTACTGCCCAGAGAGGTTTAAGGTATATCAATGGGCATGGAAACCTGGCTTCTCATTCACTGTGCATTACAGTATGACATGCTTCGTTTCCATCTGATTTTTAAAGTATTAAATCAGTCTGGGCCAGGACAATGTCACTTTTTCTATATAGTTGGGTGCCTGATGTGTACTGAGAAGTTCATATTTGCCCGGTCCAGAGAGGTTTAGGCCTCCAAAATAACTGGAAACCTGGCAGCTGATTTAAACTAATGTGTACAATATCTGATTTTTACAGTGTTAAATCAATCTGGGTCAACACAATTTCACTTTTTTATATAATGAGGTACCTGTTGTGTATTGAGAAGAATATGATGTTTTATTCAGGTGTCATATTGCAAGAGAGGTTTATTGTCAATACAACAATATACACCGGTATACAGCGTTATGAACATGGTGCATTTACATGAATCAATAAATAAATACAATTATAAATAAAAAAGTGAACGCGTGGACCGCGTACTTTAAGAAAAAATACCAATAATTTTCATGAAAATCATTTTCATTGTATGTGTAAGTTCCAACGTTGAAATTCACTTAGAAAATTTCTCAATGATAAATTGCGCAGCTTTCACCACCGTGAACGCTCCCGCTACTAAAGCGGCGAATAAGGAGCTAACTTCAGTCGCAAAACGAGACGCTGTCGAATAAGAAGCCAGATGAATCGGAAACTGCGAATAAGTAGCCAACTTAAGCTTAAATCAGGACCAGGTTCAGAAACTTCGTTATAGAAGCCCATCTTGAGGATCTTTCACGCGTACAAATGATGAGTTCTTCTATCCAGTACCAGTGATTTGTGCATTAGACGCATTGTGTCCAAACGGAGTCTTTTTCATTTCCACACACGAAAAAACAGCCCCTCGGTTTTTCTTAAAAGTATATTTTAAATATCCTTCTGAATATCCTTTGCGTTCTTATAAATTATAGACTAGGTCAATTCTGTTTTACGTCCTTCGTATTAAGCTCGACATTGCACGTATATATTTACCTTTTCCTCTCTTTGTTCTCCAGCGCGCCGTATATGTTTATTAATCTACATTATTAAATTCCACTTTATTAAAATACCATCGTAAGTCTAGAGATGCACGAGTCTGCGAGAAAATTAATTCTGTTGGACATGCGGACTCGGAAGACTTCGCTTAAGTCTTTAAAGTGCGTCCTTCAGGATAACAGTATGGACAGAAATGCCAGCTGCTGACTGCAAATTAACACGAATAACATGACTCGTTACAAGTAGCCTAAGCATAATACTTTTCGGTTTCTCTCCATCCAGCTTCAATAACCGCATATCTAGTAAAGGCTTGCGATCTACACTTTTTCTGGTCATTTTTCATAATCCTTTGTAGGAAGAGTACGTCATGCATTTGTAATAACTGTTTCATAGGTGTGTTACTTAACGAGAATTCAGTGCAGCAAACTTTTGATCACGTCGAATCTGGTGTCCTATACCAACTGTCACATTTAATACCCAGTTGTGCTAAATTTAATTAGGGCGTTCTTAAAATTAATTAATTACAAAAAGCCAATGCTAATCTCTTCATTCATGCGCCTACAGTAGCTTAATGTGCTATCCATGTGCATGCGTATGTAAATTATGATAAATTTCTGTGCGATCGCTGTTTATAAAATTTCCATCCAGGTAAATTTTATGAGAAGTCGGCCTTTCTAATTTATCCAAAATCAAATATATGGCATCCAGTTTAAATATGAATTTGTTTATGAATTGACCTGTTATAGCAAATATTTATTCTCGCCCACGGTATTAATATTGGGTCTAGTTTTACTTCATGTCCATGATTAGCATGATTTTTTTTATTAAAAGTGGAAAGAGGAGTCTGAGCCAAAGCCGAGCATGAAACGACGCCTTTTCCGACTGCATTTCCAAGTGCGATTGTTAGTCCATTCATCCATCTTCCAGTCGCATATACAGTATATGGTTGCGGGGAAAATTAAATGTATTTATTCTTATCGCATTCATTGTTTGTCCCTTATTATCTAATAATAGGCACATATAAAGGGAACAAAAGAAATACACAGTACTCTGTTTACCTTCCCGCTTTGGCGAGTGTTTTGTTTTTTAATTTAATTTTTTATTGTTTTGAGTATGCAAAATGACATGCATTGATAGCGATGATTTCATTCGAATAAATAAAATACGTTTACTTTTAGCTTTCTTACCAGTACAATTCACCCCAAAACTATGGAATCAATTTGTAAATGTAATTGTACGGCGAATAAGATTAAAAGAATTCAATCCTCAACTGGACAATGCCTGTATAATTAATTACAGCTGGAACATACACCTGTGTTGAAATAGGCCTATATATAAATCTAGCAACAACAAAAAAAAAAGTAAATGATAAAACCTATTAATGTGTATGAAACTAATGTACAATGCTCAGTTTTTCATTTTATTTTTTGTAAATGGAGAAATTAAATTAGAATCTCTCCGTTTTATTGTACCTGTAAATCATTCCCAAATTGCTGTGTTAATTGCATTAGCATTCCTGAAACTAATAGTGTTAATTGTAGTTGTGGTATGATACCAGTACACAGATAGAGGCCAGCTCTCTACATGGTGAAATCAGACTGGTCTTACCCGTGAGCACGATGGCAGTGTATGGATGTCACAGTCAGTCTGTCGTCAACCTTCGTTTGTAAGTTTTGCGCTGAGTCACGACCAAAGACGAGAGAAAAGGACGACG